TGGTAAAGAAGACCGCGCAAGGGGGGGATACAGGGATAGCAATTTTCGTAGGTCTGAACGGTGGATTAGTCAGCAGTGGGAAGGGAAAAAGGGAAGTTCTAGCAGGACACTACAAGAGACTTGGAGTGCCCTCGGAGAATGAAGCTTTTGACCAAGCGTTTAAGAAGGAGGTGGACGCATGGGCCCAAAAAGAAGAAGAGACATCGAAGGCAGACGTTGGGAACGTAGAACTAGAAAAGGAGTTCACTGAGGACGAGGTTGAGGCGTGTGTGAACAAGCTGAAGTGCCACAAAGCAGCAGGAGCGGATGGGATAGTCAACGAGTTCATGAAGTTTGGGGGGAAGGGGATGATCCAGCTGATGGTACTGCTATACAATTCGGTGTGGAAAAACGAGTATACGCCAAGTAGATTGAGGGAAGGAGTAGTTGTGAACTTGTTTAAGAAAGGAGACAAGACTGACCCAGGAAACTACAGGGGGATCACACTGTTGAACACAGTAGGAAAAGTGTTCTGTAAGCTGCTGAACGATAGGATAGTGGGAGTATTGGAGAAGGAACATAGCATTAGTGAGGGCCAGGCAGGTTTCCGCAAGAAGAGGGGGTGCGTAGACCACGTGTTCACGGTAGGGAGAATCATCCAAGGTAGAAAGAGGGTGGGACAGCCGACGTACTGCTTCTTCCGGACGTGAAAAAGGCATACGATACCGTATGGAGAAATGTGCTGAGGAAACAACTGTCCAAGTACGGGATCAAGGGGAAAATGTGGAGAGTGCTGAAGAAGATGACAGAGTGTACGAAAAGCGCGGTCATGCTAGACGGAGAACTGTCAAAATTCTTCGACATTGAGCAGGGGGTCCCACAAGGTTGCACGCTGTCCCCAACATTGTTCCAGGTGTTCATCAACGATCTGTTGGAAGTCGTAGAGGCAGTCCGGAAGGGAGTAAAAGTAGGGGACACGGAAACGTCGGTTTCAGGAATGCTGTTTGCGGATGATTTTGTCGGTATGTCGGACACCCCTGAGGGACTGCAACTGCAAATTGACGCGGCGAAGAAGTTTACTGATAAGTGGAGATTGTCTGCCAACGTTCAGAAGAGTGCCGTCATGGTATGCAACGAGAACAAGGAGGAACCAGTAGAACATAGATGGAAGTGGGGGATCGAGGAGATTGCAGTAGTGGACCAGTACACATACCTCGGAGTAGAGATCGCAAAAGACTGCTCGTGGAATGCACACATGTCCAAGGTAGCGGAAAAGGGCAAAGCACGAGCAGGGAAGCTGCACCCTATACTCGCAAACCGGCACCTCGATACACGCATCGAATTGAAGGCTTTGAAGAGCGTAATCGTACCGCCGCTAGAGTACACCGGAGAAGTATGGGAAGGAAATAAGAAGGTAGTGAAAGAACTCGAGGCGGCGCAGATGAAAGCAGCGAAA